GTTTAGAAACCGGCAATCTGCCCCCTGAACTCTAGGTGCGGCTCTTTTAATGCATAATTAAGGCTCTTTTTAAATTAGTTACTAATATACATATAACGAAATAAACTTATGAACTTAAGTAAAGGTACATTTTCAAATCGAATAAAATCAAGTAACAATACTGTACAAATACTGCTACTTTTGTTACCTTTCTAGAAATAATGAAACTGAAAAAGGAGAAAATCATTTACGGATGGCGATTTTGTAAAAGATTGTTTTATTAAAATATCTGAGTATCTTTTTTACGATTTTCAAAATAAAACAGAAATAATTGCTAAAATAAAAGACATGCCATTGTCTGCTAAAACTGTAAGAGACAGAAGTATTCGTATGGCAGAAGATGTAGCTAGTCAGAAGATTTTCATCCGAAGCAGTCATTATTTATTTTCTTTATTTACTTATTACACATACAAATAGAAATGCCCAGAGGCCATTGATTTCCATTCCCTGATAACAATTAACTACATGAAACAATAAAATGACAAAATACAATAAAACGATATAAAGACAAAAATATATACAATAACAGATAAATATACAAAAGTATTGCCTAATATAAAAACAATTTAAATTAACAGTTGTATAAAATACTTCGAAATGATCATTTGAAACTCATCAAATCATAAGGTAAAAAATGTTTAACAGGACTTATATATTTAGTATTATGGTAAAAATATGATTATCGAATAAAGATAATCGATAAAAAAACGTATTTGAGGGTCCTTCTTAAAGGTACTCTTAGTTTTAGCCATTATAATATTTATAACATCATATACGATTAAAGTGTTTAATTGTGTCCTTTAAATTGTGATACTCCTCCATTTAGCATGAAATACATTTTGTATGTCACTTTATTGAGGTTAAAAAAAAAGAAATGGAATTTCAGAACCACAAAATTCCTTGGCGAATCACTAAGGATTAATCTTATTTTTCGTAATATATATTGAATGAGTTTCATTACAGACTGCGGTAAAGTACAACAGTAATGAGAATGTCTTTCTACAAAAAAGGTTTTACAAGGTTTTCGCAACCCAAGGTTACAATATTGTATAAAAAAGATCGTCTCCTTCAGCCATTTACCGGTAATTTCAGCAATAGGTAATAAGATCAAAAACACTTCTAAATTTTTTAATACTTTTTGTCTTGAAGGAAATACATGGGGATTTTTATTAAATGCATCGTAAGTTAGGTTAGACCGACAATGGAGAAGGCAGGTTTTAAACGATATATCCCGGACAGGCCACTCCGTAAAACTTACTGCAGTATTCGGACCCATACAGATTTTATTCTTCATCTTCCGAAGCAACAGACGGCTTTCCGTTTCGGGAAGTAAATGTTTATATGGGAAAATGTTCGATAATGGAACTGCTTGCGAGTTTTAAATCCAGCCGCGACTAATTTTAAAGCTGGAAATATTGCCGCGCCGACGAACTAACTTAAACCAAAAAATTCTACACAAATTCAAAACAATTTGGAAAAATCTCAATCTACTCGTCCGATCTCTAATTATAAAAGAGAAATACGAACTGGTCACGAAGAATCTCGGTTCGTCTTCGTCTTGTGCGCCTAAATCAGCCGAAAGAAGTTGTCATCTTTCAGTGTCTTCGAAAAGTTAAAACAAATTGATCAAGATAAAAGGAGACCACATTGAGATCGGCAAAAATCATTCGAGCAGTGGCGTGTCGTCATTGGAAGCGGTGGAAGCCCGCTTCTCTTGTATTTTCTAAAAAATAAATATATAGGGGAGATCGGGGCAACTTCGGCATGCGGGGAAAGTTTGTCAAGCGCTTTTTTTTAAAAACAAATTAAAAGGAGACTTTGGTTATAGGTTAGGCAGTTGAGTTTTATTGGTGGCTTGTTGAGTGTAGTGTTTTTATTGTTCTCCAACAAGCGTAGTTGAATTATCAAGCAAATTTTCATTTTCGTTCAATTCCATATAATATTTTTTTTCCATTTATATTGAATTGGCAGGTTTTGTTATAATTCCATGATAACGAAAGTTACTTTTCCTGTTAGAAGGATGTAACTTCAACTTATTCACGTGGCCAGATCGTGGCTTGGCATTCTGTTCTCAGGGTTGTACTTAATGTTTCGAAATCATGACTAGCGGGGTAAGATCGGCAACATAAAGCCACATTAGAAGCAAAGGATAAAAATCAAACAGATGATAAATGAAAACATGTTTGCATTTGTTATTCATGTATATATGTCTTTGAACTTGCATTTCGTTGTAATAATATTAAATGGGTGTTGGATTTGTATTTCTTTGTTTTAATAGTGAATTCCAACTTATACATTGTTAATAACATAATTTTATATACGTGCCTATCTTGCCCCATTACTGTTGCCCCTATACCAGGGGCAACTTTAATAAAAATAATTAAAATAATTACAACTTTACAAAAAGAGAGAAGTTGCCGATCTTGCCCCTATACCCGGGGCAACTTCGTCAATTTCTCTCTTCTTGTAAAGTTGTAATTATTTTAATTATTTTTATTTCCAAACTGATTTTAACCAGTTCTATAGTAAGGTAACATTCCAATAGACAATATGCAAAGCTTTTTTTTCAGTTTACAGCAGTATTTATTACACAAAATTTAAGTAAAGCTTAACATGCCGATCTTGCCCCGATCTCCCCTATTGCGCGATTATTTTCATATTTTAACGTATTTTGAATTAATTAAAATTAATAGTTTATTATAACCGCATTATTTGTCTTATTACAAATTTCTATACTACACGTGAAAAAAAACGATAAGATTGCTATCGTATACAGTTGACCCCCCTATAAAACGATAGATACGTTCCGTTCTTTATGAATCAATTTTGTACGAGTCCTTGCCAATCACACGTGTGAAGTTTACGGGCTACGGCTGTTTGAAAGGTTTTCTTCCATAAAATTAATCGATTCAAGACTAATTCGACTCAACACTTCCAAAATATGTATGATTTTTTGGGAATAATCGGTATAAACTATGCTATAAACAAAAAAATGTAAGATTACTTACCGAGTGTGCACAGTTCGACGTCGCTATTGCTCAAGCTTGTTTTCGTCGTGGAGAAGCGCACCAAACGGCGGGCGATTTCTGAAAAGTTATTTTTCTGCGAAAACTTCGTTGAACTTTGGAGACATCATTAATATAAATAATTTTTATAGCCGTTGAATAAGAAATGTTTCTTTCACGAAAAATGTATAAAAGTACAGTACTGTTTTAGACTTACGGTGCCTAATTTACATATTGTACAGACGATAGTAAACAACTTACTCGCCTAAACTCTCCGTAGCGTGGCGCTGAACGGCGGAAAGTAGTTCGGCTGCCCGATGACGTTTTACCGAATTATAGTTTTTTTTACCAGGTTTGTACGGACACCGTCGCAATTTTTTCGCCGTCTTATAGGAATCGTAATTATAGGAACCCGTATTATAGGGGTCTACTGTATTCGAATATCAGTGGTTGATTGTAAGCGCTGTATTGTCAAAACCGAGTCAGCTTCCAAAAAGCCGAATTATACGCATTCGCGAATGCGCTTTACAGAGCACCAACCTCACCTTGTTTAGCTGGTGGAAGCTACAGACATATAACGCTTCCAATGATTCTATCCAGGGCCGGTTCCAAGTTGTTAACCGCCTGCCTGCTAGATATTTGGCCGCCCTCGCCCCATTATGTAAATCGTGAGTAGATTTATAACTTAACCCAACTGATAGGAATTTACTACTACCTTTTTATGATAGTTCTGTATAGTTGACAGAAGTTTAAAAAAATCCATTAAAATATTTGATATTTTTATTCCGCTCTCCCATCTTATATTACTTACGGATTTCAACGTTAAACCAGTGATATTACGATCGTTTCACTCGTATTGCCGCTTCGTGCTCTTCCAATCTTATTCCGAGTTTTCTTTTTGTCTCGCCGATGTAAACCTTCTTATCTCTGCATGTGCATTGTAGTTTATATACAACTCCAGTTACATCCAAAGGATTCTTCTGAATTGTAAAACTTCATTTCTAAAATTATATTTAATTACAATTTTCTTTAAAAGTATATACGTACAATTGAAGAATACTTGGTACCAGGTATGTATGTACTGTACTTCCACAACACATTTTATCAAGTAAGTTTTTATTATTTTATTTTTAATTGTAATCCTTATATTGTGGCTAGCGATTTAGAATGTAATTGTAATATCATAAATACATTTAGAAGTCTACGGTTTTTACTGGCTTATCGAACAAATGAATACGAATACACTCTAGACCATCATACGGAATTAACTGATTAATGCAATTAACAAGTAACCGCCTCTGGAAGTCGGCTTATACAGAAATACAGCTTCCCTATCATCAAATGTCACGACACGACGCTGCAATCGAGAAACGAAAAATTGACTATAAAAAAAAAACAAACAATTGAATGTAAACTGGCTGTATAAAGTCTATGCACAGTTAAAAAGACTCAGATACTTCATCGCAGCTTCCGTGAAGACTGAACTAGCGTAGATAAAATCTGATATCACCATAGTTTCGGGGAATGTGCCAACCTCATTTATCCCTAGATGTTTGCTGGCACCGACTTTTCAAAGACACTACTCCAACAGTACGAAGAATGAATGCTGCACAGCACGAGGTCTTCTTCGAGAAATAATTAATACATTATTAATTAATTAAAATGGATTAGTTAATGTCGAGAGCGCCTTGAAACGTATTTATATACAAAATTCTGACGGTTGATAACCAAAATTTGCCTGCCCGTCGACATTGTGGTCGAGGGTTTTACTTCTTTTCTTTCTTTCGCACATTTTCGATTTCATATAATTCAGTGTCGATAAAATAACCGGCAAAAATACCAACGCAGTAATAAAAGAAAACATAATAACCAAAAAGATTATTTTAAATATCGTGATAAATATATATGCCAACGGAATGGTTAAAGGTAACACGGAAATTATTGTAGTTGCACTACCTTGAAATATTGCGAATCCTATACAATTGATGCTATGACGAAGACGTTCATTGAAATCTTCAATGTCGCAATGTCTATAAGCATGAGACATATGAGCAGAGTAATCCACCGAAAAACCGGCGCACATGACTAAGACAATTATAGACACTGGTGCCAATTCCACATCCCAGAGAGCCATGTAACCCAAAGTGGAAATTTCGATAGTAACAATCGAAAGTGCGACCGAAAACGTGACGACAACGTCTGGCATAAAAACGAAACAAACAAAAATTACAATTATCACAATAATACACAACAGTTGAACAGTAAATTTTACATGCAAGTCAGTGCTGTCGACGGCATAATTCAAGAAGTGATACGGAAACACTCTGAATGGCATTTTATTAGTGATTTTCCTTAGTCCCTGTAAAGTCACGTAGAATGATTTTTCGTCAACAGTGAAATCAGTCTGACAAAGAAATCTGCTTCCAACGATAGCTGTATAGTCAGAGTTGAAGGCAATATCATTACGAAATCGTTGTGCATAAGGATGACGTAGAAACATTCGGCGCAAAACGACAATAAAATCTTTTGTGTCGCTCATGTTGTACGACTTTACAATCGCAGACATTGAATCGTCTTTGACGAATTCCACAAAACTTCGGAGCCAAGACTCGGTAAGAAAATCTGCAATTAATCCTTCTCTCTCCATTTCAGAAAAAAGTTTTTCTATTTGATTCTGAATTTCCACATCTGCATAATTGATTTCTTGATCGACAACGATTTGGATTCTGTATTCGTAATGCTTGAAATATTTAAAAACATTTTTATGATACGGCAAATAATAAGAATCGTATGCAGAAGAGTAGGAAAATGATCCTATAATATCTGTTTTTGTCACTCCCCAAACTCCAAATGCCACGTAACCTGCCATGATTAAGAGAATAATTATCATGACATACCATAAGAATAAAATATTACCGAGCTTTGTCCAAATTGATGACGTTTGAGTGGTCGTGTCTTTAGTAGATTTCCAAGATTCGGTGGTAAAGAGTATTTTTCGAATCCATGAATGATTTTCTAGAGAGAAAAATTTATCGTCATTAGTTTCTTGAAGTGCTACCAAATGATTCGCTATATTTTTACCTGTTTGTGTATTTATTTTCGTGAAGAATAAAGAATGTCTTCCTTGTTTCTCCACATATCCAAAGAGTGCCATGCATGCACCAACGAACGTTATCTGATAAAAGTAACAAAAGAGAACAGAAATCGATGCGTATAAACAGAAATTAGATATGGATCTGTAAGGTGTAAACAGTCCCGAAAGGAACGCTATGAGATTCGTTACTGAAGTTACAGTAACAGAAATGGCGGATTCCGAATAAACTTCCGAGAGTCTGTCTGGAACGGTCTTCTGGGAATCGATCCTTTTCCACGCAGCAAGAAAAACAAAAGCATCGTCCATGGCTACTCCTGAAAGGAAAATTGCATTCAATATTTATGATGAAAAAGTTATAAATTTAAAAATTATTGAATAACATAAACATTATACTAAACTAACTAAAATAATTTGCAATTAAACTACAGTAAACTATCGTTATCTTTTACTTTACAAAATATTTTTGTCATGTGTAATATTGAAAGGATATCACTATCGAGCGTAAGCCGCTTTTAGACAGGCGACTCAGTTGTATGTACCAGGGACTCGGATTCATCGCTATGTGCCACCAATCCATGATCCAAATATAATAAATTTTGCTATTATAATTGTCTTACAGTCCTTATTTCTAATTTATTTTAAATTGTCTACTTGGGCATTACTCATTAATAGGACTTTACACCAGCGTTTAAAAATTGACACAATAGTGAGAAATGTGTTTCGGGTTAACACGCCCCGAAACACATTTAAGTGTACAGAAAAAGTTACTACTAACGTAATTTCAAAAAGAAATTTTGTTTTTTCTGAACTAACTCTCATTATTGTGTCAATTTTTAAACGCCTGTGTAAAGTCCTATTAATGAGTAATGTCCAAGTAGACAAGTAAAAATAAATAATGAAATTTGCACCTTACAATAACAGAAGCCACTTGTTTATAATCACTTTGTTTGTAATCGTCGATTGGTAGCTTTGCGCAAGTCACTTATGATTCTCGGTAATCAGGCTACGTCGTGAAGCCGCCGAAATTGGTCCGTGTGAAAAGCTCCAAATCACTCAATGGCACCAACTGATTGGCCGAAATGATCTTGAGAAAGCTACCATTCGGTTATTATATAATTTGGTATGAAATGCCTGTTATAATATTTTTTAGCCCTGACAAAGTCGACTAGATTTGTGACATTTTTATACCACAACTCATACTGTTGTATTGTGTACAACCAACTCATACTGTGTATTGCTTCTCAGCTGTCAAACATTCAGATGTCATTATGTGCATCCACCACGTGGATACAGAGCCGGCTCGATGGGTGGCGGGCTAAATGTTAGTTTGTGTTTCAAATTGAAGCACAATTAGAGAGAGTCACTAAATATAAGAACCTTCAAATCGAAGTTGAACGACTGTAACGGAAAATATAGTTCCAATTGTAGCCGGAACTCATAGGAGCCATTTCAAGGGATTTAGAGCAATATTTGAGGAACCTACAGCTTAATAGAATACCTACAAACTACAGAGAGCTGCATTAATTGATACAGCACATAATTTGCATAATTACATCTAAATGTTCCACCTCTCTGCAGAGGTTCGATGTTTAGGAAAGGAATACAATTATTAATAGCTGAGGAGCAGTTACGTTAAATAATAAGTTTTATAAATAATTTTTAGAGCGTAGATTTAGTTCAGTACAGAAAATCCCGCTCGTGTAAAAATTAAAATTTTGCAATTTTGCTAAATGAAATGATATTTTAATTTGTAATCTTCCAGAAAGACTGGGAGATGTTTCAAAAATGTACAAATGTTTCAAAAAATGGAGTAACTATATATTAAAGTAAAAGAATAGAACTCATATTTCTTCAGGCTCGATTTCAAACGATGAAAACTATGATATGCATATGCTTCGTTAATTAGATTATGATGTTCAAAGACAGTTTCCTGGATATATTAAAAAGTTATCAGAATGAAACTACAGCACGAAGATGCTTAATAAACTGTCGTGACACATTTAACATTAAAGCAACCAGAATTTCGACATAGATCTTTTGTAATTTTAAATTAAAAGTGTAGTTTTTGTCGTAATTTTGTTGTAAGCAACTTACAAAACTTTTTCTGTTCTATTGTATATATAATATCATTTTTTAAACAATAAAAAGAAATTTTTGTTTTTGAAAGATACATCCTTTTTTATGTTCGGTCATCAATTTCATGTAATAAACTGTTTTCCGTAAGTCTAAGTTCGTATCGGCCTTCTTCCGCGGCTTTTAAAACTGAATTATTAGGTATTTCCTGGGAAAACACAAATGCGGTGACACGCTTCAACGTTCTGTTTAAAACAGTTTAAAATCCGCAGATTCGAGACAGAAAGTGCGCTTTCAACGTCATAACCGTCGAAAAAAGACAAGAAACGTTTAAAACATGCACATGTGCTGCCTGAGGATTACATATTGAATGTTTTGAATGTGTGACAGCATATTTGCATGTTTTCAAAAATTGACTTCGTCATGACATCGTGCATGTTAAATGGACCGTTGTATAGATCGAAATAAAAATTTGTCGTAGAGATCAATGTAAACTGATAGCAATCGATTGACATGTTGCAAGCGACCAGCATACAATCTGCATTTATTCATTCATTCATATCTATATTAAGTGCATGCTTAGTTCCAATGGCATAAACAGGCAGAGTGCACAATATACAAGAAATTAAGTGAGTTACCAAAGTAGGATACAGATAATTTGTACTAGTACAGCGCGTATGTATAGTTCTAGGTATGTTACAGAGTATTGCAAGACTGACGTCATACCTGTGACATTTAATAATCTACAGGTATGTATAGTTACAAGACAAAGTAACAAACCCATGGTATATACATGTTTAATATCTGTAGTGAAATTCTGCAGAGAAAATAGATAAATAGAATAAAATAAATATATACAGGAAGGTACAGTACATAAAGTAGCAATAAATCAGGAAGTAATTATATTAGTCAAAAATGAGAGTTGCAGTTAATCATATATTTTATATATTACACTACAGCTATTTAAACTCAGAATATATACAATACAAAAGGTGAAAAGTACGCTTGCACCCTGAGGCAACACAATTACAAACATAGTGTATAATCAGTACTCGTGTGTATAAAATAAATTAAAAAACAATAGCCGAAGAGTGAAAATCGCAGGATAGCACAAGGAAAAGCAATGGCAGACAACCAAAGAAAGAAGTGAGAGCACTAGGAAAAAGCAGCAGGTCTAACTGTTACCAGGTTTACAGATGAGTGTGATAGCTCTTCACAAGTTGAAGAAACTGCTGATAGGTTGTGCATGCAATCTGTTTTCACATAGCCAGGAGCCAAAATTACTTTCAACCAGGGCTGTGGAGTCGGAGTCGTCAAAAAAATCCGCCGACTCAGACTCCTTTTTTACTTCCCAACTTGTTATGTATATAAAACGGAAAAGTATTGGAATCGTGTCATATTTGACCCTCCAGATTTTTTTTTTTGCAAATTTACACGTTTGGAGACCTCCCGAACATCTCAAAAAAGTCAATAAAAGGGAAAAATTCGCTCGCACTGGTGTTGGTGTCTAATTTGTTTAATTTCTTTATTTTCTTAAACTTTACTTATTCTAAGATATTGTTTAATATCTCAGAATGAGTAAAGTTTAAGAAACGAAATGTGGCACTGTGGCTTGCGTATAAAGGGGCATTAATACTGTTAAATTTTGGTTTTTAATTAAAGATCGACAGGGTGCAGACGTAAACGTGATCAAGTGTCATATCTCTTAATGAATATTTTACTCCTTATTAGCGTTCAAAATTAAAAAAATAATAATAATAAAACTCGTCTCTACGCTTAAAGTAAGCTTTTTTGTCATTTTATAATAGTACGGTAAAACCCGTTAAGATGTTCTCGCCTAAGATGTTAGAATGTATATGGGGACACGATTTAGTTCAACCGCTTTCACGCTTAATAACTAATCTTGTGTTAAACCATCTGACTCCGATTTTGACCACTCTGACCGCAGAAATTATTAGGCTTAAAACAGGGTGAACAAAATCATGCCCCACACACACAGTCTAACAGCCACACATATAAAAAAAACCCTCGAATCTTTCGCATATCTCGAAATTTCAAGGTGTCCCGAGTCCAAAAAATTTAAAAATGTGGGATGGATTATTTTTTTGACTGAGCGCTACACTTTCCCTCTGTTATATATAAGAGCCGGAAAAGTAAAAATTATCGAATACATATTTATATGTTACTTAGAGGAGTCTTTTAGCTTTCAAATAAAATATTTCTACGTTCTATCTTTATTAGAACTGTGTTTATTGAATTTTTTATTCTCGGGTCACGTGATGACATCAGAATTTCCGGATCTTTTTCGTTAACATGTCACACACCATAAGACTTTCAATACCATGCAGCAGTCTAGGATAAATTTTAAAAAATGAAGTTTAAAATAATATAAAACAAAATAAATGTGAATAAAATAAGTTTAAAGTATATATCAATATAAATATATTTTTATATTCTTGACGTCTAATATATATTCATTTTATATAATGAGTATCTAATTATTTTCTTCTAATAAAGTAAAAACTGTGAAAACCGGACTCTCGTGGTACAGAATACTTTTTCTGGTTTCTGAAGTTTGAGCAGATTTTTCTAACATAGAGAATCGCTGCGTTTCGAAGAATTTTTCCCGCTTAGGAAGGTTTTAATTAAGGTTCCGTTTTGAACAGAATGAAGGTTCCCGTCTGTCTCCGTTTTCTCAAGCAGCTTTCTTGAATAAACATGGCCCCAGACGTTCCAAATGTACAGTATGTTCGTAGGAAATACATCTCCACACTCAACTCGTTCGTTATATACAGATTAATTACAAAAAGTAGTTTATGACGGCACCACACTATACTGATTGACACAATAGCAATCAAGGATACGGTGGAATAGTCTGGATCGAATGTCTAATTGTTAATATCTGTACCGTGTAGAGGCCCTGTCTGCACTTTCCTCAAATGTCAGACTTCACCCGTATCTGAACGTTCTTCTTAGAGAAGAATAACCTCTCTCGCTACAGTCAGAGAGCCTGCCGAATATCTGAAATCTAAGTGCTATCAGTACCGAGCCTTGCCGTCTACCTCTCTTCTTCGATCTTCTCCCCAATTCAAACGTTTTATGAAAGCCAACTTCCGATCCATCAGAAAAAGCGTTCGTGCGCGAAGCTTTTTTTTACGCCCGCACTGACGCGAATGTGGGTGGTTGTCCTCCCACTTCTTTACTTGTTTAATTTCTGCTGTTTTCATGCCATT